AATAAAACACAGAACAGAACTTTAAGTCCATTTTAAACCCCCAGGCTAGAAATCGCACCACTGTTAATCTGCCGCATTATTTGGCCTAACATTTTTCCTTGATCGTTCTGAAACTGAGTTTATCTGATACATTGATAAATTTCTACAATTTGGAAGAGTCAGTTCAAGTCACCAGGACCCAATATCTATACTCTTTCAGGGAATGCAGGCAAATGTGTTATTCCATTTGTAAATCATATTAGTGCTCTCCTATTAATGTCATATTTATGAAAGTATCATGAAGATGCCAAATGCTAAACATGGACATGGTCAGTAACTAGGAATCTCCACTTCAGGGAGCACACATACATATGTCCCTCCATCCTAACAATGGGACGTATTTTGGCACACATTAGAACTTCATGAAGTTTCAACTGTTGATTCTTTCCCAAGCATCATAAAGTTATGATTTAGGCAATGCCTGACTGAAAGAATTCATTCATAATGTGGAGGCACATTAACATAAATCTTGCACAAAATATGCCTCTAACTGAAACCGAAAGATATCAAAACATATTTCACTCTTGGTAAAGAACTTGGTGAGGAAATAGAGCTCTGTGATTGTACAGACACTTTTCCTGATAATACTTTGACATTCACAAACAGTAGATGGCATGCAGTCTATAAAGATTTTAAGTTGCATAAACTTCTCCTTGATTTTCAAATATAGTACAATTCTGTCTACTGAAACTCCTTTTGGTTTCAGCCAAGTACTCTCACATATATTAGTTTATAATAATGTCTGTGATTATTATTTTTTGTTTGTGATTATTGTTTAAAGTTCTTTCTATTCAAGAAAAAGAAGGCAATTCCTATGTCAGAGTAACCAAGGTGGTTGAAGAATAGGTATTAGCCAGAGAAGTCTGGATGGTCAAATCAGTCTTGTAGCCTCAAAGAAGCTCCATGAACACAGAGGGATGCCAGGTGTCACACGGCTTTCCTGCACTCTAGTTCATTCTTGACTAGAACCTGTATGCCTGTTCTAGGGACATTTAAACTTTAAAAAAAATTTTTTTTTTAATTTTCTGTTTTTTTCTGGACACTTAAACTCTTAAAAAATTTCTCTTTTTTTTTTGGAGATGTTTTATAAAAATGGACATTTTATCAGCAACTTCCCATGTGAACTGTAATAAATAGCAATTTGTAAAATTGTGAAATGATACAAAAGGATAATCTCATCCGTGGTCTCTTTCTGTGTGCAAGGCACTATACCAAGTGTCCTAAAACATTAACTGTTCAGTCATCAATACTTAGTGCCTACCCACTCTATGATACAAAGTTCCATTCATATATATATATATATATATTACACTTTATCTTAAAGGATTTCTTATGATCTTTACGAATACGTTAAGAAGAATGCTAACTAGTGCCCTTTTGTGTACTGAGACTTGGAGTCATGTGCTTAAAACAGGCAACATGAACACTGACTTTACAACATATTATAGATATAAATGCTCTAAGCTAGGAAAGGTTTTCCATATCCACTGTCAAAGATGGGAGCCTTTTATTCCTCAGAAATCATCCCTTTTTAGGTCATCAAAAAAGTACAGCTGCTGCAGTTCATGATGCAGTATCTTCATGAGCCCAGGGCACGGAAAAACCCTAAAAGAACTGCCACAGCACAGCGCTCGTTCTTGGCATGGGAATGAATGAAATACTCTATTCTGCACATACCTGCCAGAGCAGGCCACTTTCCTCTTCTGTGAGATTTTAAAAGCTCCCGAAAATGTTATTACTCCCATTTGCAATACAGAGAACATAGAAGAAAGGCTGTTTCCAGTTCTCGGCTTTTCAACAACTCTAAATGTCAGTACTCATATTGGCACCTTACAAATAATAAACAGTGTGCACGTGAGGGCAAAGCACATATTGAGCTAATTAAGAGCTCACTGTGATCAGAAGTCCATCAACTACCATAGCAGAACATAAGCAAATTGTATCTGAATTCCATAATGAATATACATGCTGCAATAACATTAAAAACCATGGCAGCCTATTCCAAACTAGTGAGAATGGTTTTCTGCCGATAGTGGGTCTTTGTGTGTTTGAACTCCCACCACATAAGGGCAAACTCAATAGGCATGCTAATGACCTACAATTATCAAATTAAAAATGAAAAACGCTGAAGGATGCCAGAGTGAACATCAGTGAAAGCCACACGAAGACCCACTGTCCTTTAACTTTTTACAAATAAACTATAAATTAGAAACACAAATCATCATGAGTGGCTCTAACATTCAAATAAAGTAACATGTAGAAGATTAACCATATAACTTTTTTCCTTTACTTCCGTAAATTTCTTGGCCAGCTCTTAGCTGATGGTGATGTTTACCTCCTCCTTCGCAGCAGTGGGGTAAAAACATGGCATAGAGGGACTGCTGCCCAAGGGTCGATGTTGCTGGCCGTCCCGCAGCTCACACAGCCGTGAGCAATCTGCGGTGCAGTGGGGTGTGGTGTACCCTCCCTACTGCAGGCTCCAGGCTGTCGCTGTCGTCGTCCGGGCTCATCTCATAAAATTCTTTGGAGAGAGGGAGGCGGCGATCTGAGCGCAGTGCCAGCCTCCCCTGCTCCTGCCTGCCCACCCCACCTGAGGGCTCTACTCACCATCCTTGTCAGCAGCACCAAGCTCCTGGGGGGCTGGGGCCCCTGGAGTGGAATCATTTGCAGGGTTCTGGACCTCGTGCTCGATCATAAGCTGCATCACTGGGCCCTGCAGCTCCAGCAGCTTCACCTGGAGATAGGGGTGCTCAGCTGCCACGCTGGTGCTGGCACCCATGCTCACGCCCACCCCCATCCCCCTCACCCCCGCAGAGATGTTGTACACCTTACCTTCATCCCCTCCTCAGCCTCGGACAGCATGCTAACATCGTTCTTCTTCTGGTGCTGGGTCTTGGCCACTGCTGTCTGATGGTCATTTGGTTTGATGGACTTTCCTGCGGGAGGACAGGCTCAGACACTGGGGCCCCTCCCACCACCCTGCAGCTCCCCTGCCTTGCCCTGGCCTCCTGCTCACTTATCATGTCTCTCTCTCCAGAGAGCTGGATGAGTCCGAGTTCTAGTTTTTCCACCCGCTCCTTCAGGTCCGCATTTTCCTTCACGACGGCCATGAAGCCATTCTGGAGCCGAAATAATGGGGTCACACCTCCGCAGTGACCAGTCACACCCCCACCCTTCTTGGCCCCTGCCAGGACTCACTCACCTGCAGCTTGTCGATGGCGCCCTGCAGGGCCCGCTGGGTCTCCCCACACCCACGGTCGCTCCCAGTCCCTGTGGCTGTGGCCGCTGCCTCTGGCTCCCTCAGGGCTGAGGCCACTGGGTGTGCCTGGTGCTGGCAGCACATCTGTTGTTTCTGGAGCTGCTCACAGAGCCGTGCCTGCTCCTCCTGGGCACCGGCTCCAGCAGCGTTCAGAAGTGGCACCTGAAGGCAAGAGGGGAGCAGTCTTGTAGGGGCATACATAGGACAGACGGGGCAGGGAGGTGGAGCACAGCCCCTTCCCTTGGAGCCTCAGAGAGTGCACCTGTCAATCATGAAGTTGTCTGGCCACTGGCTCCTGGAAGGGGTGAGGGTCCAGAGGAATCAGAAGGCAGAGAAATCAAGAGCACAAGGGGGTCTGGGAGGGACCACAGAGGAAGGTGGCCTGCCCAGGCGCCTGGCCCCTGGCTCCAGCCTGAGAGACTGCCTCCCTTGCCTAGAGTCCCATGCCTCCTTCCCCAGCCTCAAACCTCACGTCCTTCCTTCCACCATTTAAACTGTAGGCCACAGACTGGTGGAAAAGCAGAGGGAGCCGACCACCATCTGCCAAGTGTGCTACATGCCTAATGCTTTCCACGCATCATCTCATTTAATCCTCAGCACCCATGCAAGGAAAATGCTAACTTCCTTTGAAAGTTAAAGAAACAGAGACTGAGGGATGCAAAGTAGTCGAATGGTGACCAGTGGGACCGAGGCCGGAATCCAGTTTGAATCTAAGGAGACTTTCATTTTGTTTTGCTTTGATTTGTTTTGTTTTGAGACAGAGTGTCACTCTGTGGCCCAGGCTGGAGAGTCGTGGTGCAAACTCAGTTCACCACAACCTCCAGCTCCCAGGCTCAAGCGATGCTCATGCCTCAGCCACCTGAGTAGCTGGGATTACTGGTGTGCACCACCATGCCCAGCTTTGTTCTTGTGGTTGTTGCTGTAATTTTAGTAGAGATGAGGTTTTGCCATGTTGGCCAGGCTGGTCTCAAACTCCTGATCTTAAG